TTTTGAAGCGTAATAACTTTTTGTCCGTACCTGTATAAAACTACCGAGCCAAAAAATATACATCTCTGTGACTTTTTACGTAAAAAATTTCTCTTTGTAAAAATCGCTACGAGCAACAGTTCGTAAGATATTTAGAATGGAAATATCATTTCGTCAATACATGTCATTATTGACGAAAAATAAACACGTTGAGTAAATACCGTATGATCGAAAAAAAACGGCGTCCAGTTGGCTTAGAAATGACGATCGATGACATTTCCCATATAATTTTACATATAAAATGACAGCGATCTTCGTTTCATAGCCATCGCTGACGCCGTTTTTATTCCATCATACGGTAGTTATTTCACTGAAATAATAAATTTGAAAATTTTTATTTTTTTTAAATTAATCATAAATTTCTCTGCAAAAAATGATGATAAAACAGTTTCTGTTGAACTTTTGGCACAAAAATATTTCAAATTTATGATTTCAGTTTAATAACTATTTAGTCAACGTCTTTAATTAATGTCAATGATGACAGGTATTAATAATTTCGATTCCAAATATCTCAAAAACCATTACTCGTAGCGATTTTTACCAATAGACCTTTTTTACGTAAAAAACGTCGTATATGTATATTTTTTTACTCAATAGTTTTATACAGGTACGGATGAAAAGTTATTACTCTTCAAACCGGTTAAAAAATATGTAGGTGGCGCCCTCTACTAGTAGGAGCCATATTGACATCAAAATCAAATTTCTCATCTCAAAAAACTCCCAGACACCAATTTTCATTCAAATATTGACTTTACTTCAGAAATTATTTAGAAAAAATCGAAATAAAAATGAAACTTCTACACCCTGTATCTCCGAAACTAAGCATTTTAGGGCATACATTTATACGAACTTTTTTACTTATTTTTATCTGCGGAATATATAGTATATAATAGTTTCCGGAATACAATTCGGACCACCCTGTATAAAAAATGCTATTTTTTGATACCGCTATTATAGGGTTCACCATCGGATTATATAGGTTCTAATACCGGGATTTCAAAACGGGATCCCGATCCCAAAAATTTATAAAACCCATCACTGTTGATCGTATAACCTCAAAAATCAAATTACAATTACCAGAAATAATGTGCAGTAATTTGCGTAATGATGTCACAATCTCTTTCTTCTGGTTGTTTGAAGTGATGAGAGGGTACAACATGCATTAGCATAGCTAATGTAAGTACCCTGTAATGATCTGTTTTTTTTTTAAGTCATAAAAGAAAAGTATAATAGTTTTCTTTAAACATTCTATTTAATAACTATCTGGAAAATCATAGCTATTTTTAAACGCACCGATGCACATACATCTATAAATCTACTTGTCGTTGCACCTATTAAATGCAAATCATCATTTTTAATAGTGTTTCGCCGTATGATGTTAATGGCTTTTTGCCATATTATCCTAAAACAGTAGCGTAACAACATTATTTTATCGTGTAATTTATTTTTTCCTTTGCTAGTAGTACCGTGTAACCAAACAAATATACCTACATCGTAGGAGTAACCTTTGAATAGGGTTTCCACACGTACGGATTTTGAAAAAAATCCGGGAAATCTAACAGTAAAAACAACTACGATATCACATATCTACGAATCGACATTGTTCGAAAGTATCCATCTCTCTCTGGTCAATTTTTTCGGTTTCATTGCATTCGTGGATGTGAATTGTGAATTCTTTTGTCTTTATTTTGTTATGATTACATGCGCATTAAGCATATAAGTCTGTCCAATCATCCATTAATGACAGTTGTGCCTGTCGTTTTAATTCAAAAGTAAACTGTATGTCTGTCATTTTTGCAATGCCATCTGTCGAAATCTTCCCTGACTCTTTACTCTTTGGACATACAAAGTTTTTTCTTATACTGTGACTGCATGACCGTCGAAAGACGCGTGGTCATCGAAAAACAAGGAGAAGTTTTTTCTTATATTAAATAAGGATAATTCAGATGTCATTTGTAACGTATGCATAAAAACCTAGTCTTAGTACTGTCGTTGATTGAAAAAATTGGGAAGATACGCAACCTAATGGACGAATTCGTGACAAGGATGATTTGATTTCCCCTTACGTCTCAAGGGCTGTACGGTGGAGACCCCAATCGTTCTGCGGTCAACGCATAAAACACTCATTTTTTCCAATTCGGCCAGCGAAGGCATATCGAAGACAGTGTGGAACTGAAAGCGACAGTGTTGCCATATTAAAATGTGTATTACAGACATTATACGTTTAACAAAAATATTTTTTGGATGAAAAATCCACGTTTATGTATTGAAAAGTGTGTAAAAATTCTTTGTACTGAATATGTCGTATGACCGAAAAAAGTCGTTTAATTGGCTTGGAAATGAAGAATTATTGATATTTACCATAATATTTTACATATTAAATAACAGCGATCTTCATTTCCAAGCCAACTCTAACGCCGTTCTGTTCCGCTTATTAATATAATATTAAACTTACGTGCATAGAAATCGGCCCACTGTGAACTTATGATTTTAACTGTGTCTTTTAGAATCTATTTATCATGGCAAGTAAAAAATATGAGCTGTTTCAAAGACAATTTAACATGCTTTAATATGAGTATAAACTTATTCAGGGTACTTATCGTTTATATGCGTATCAACGGGTAAACAAATAAAAGGTATTTGTGTTGTGGTGACAATAAGAATAACAAACTTGTCAAATATTTTAATTACTACCGTTGTAATCGAAATTTTCACATTGTTCTTTTATTCTTTCATTAGTTGTGTTTCATTGTTTGATTAGTGTTTCAATTTAAAGCATACATCACCGGAAAAAGCCGCCCAAGTAATCGCTTTAATATGGATCAAAAATGGACTTAAACAGAGAGCTGTAGCTAGGCAACTACATATGACACGCGGAGCGGTTCGAAGAGTGTGTGAACGATATGAGGAGACTCGATCCTTTCGTAGTCGACCTGGAACTGGTAGAAAGAAATATACAACGGATCGTGATGACCGCTTTATTGTGTCAACAATGTTAAGAAATCGGCGTCTTAATGCTATCCTGGTGCAACAACAGCTCCGTGAAACACGAGGAGTGACTATTAGTCAGTGGACAGTAAGACGAAGATTGAAGGAAAGTAACATGACCCCCAAAACACCCGCAATTGGTCCAAAACTTACCCCAGCTCATCGTAAAGCACGCCTGCGTTTTGCACTGGAACATCTGAATTGGGCACTAGAACAATGGGAATCTGTTTTATTCTCAGATGAGACCAGGATATTCCTCTATGGTAGCGACCAAAGAAGAAAAGTTTACTGGAGGCCAGGTGAGCGATTCGCAGAATGCTGCATTGAGGAGCGGATTACTTATGGAGGTGGTTCCTGCATGATCTGGGATGCAATTTCTATGAATGCGCGAACCGACCCAGTTCTCATCCGTTGGGGCGCCCGTCGGCACGGGGGAGGAGGTTTAACTGGTGCTAGGTATATTGAGGAGATTTTAGCAGTTCATGTGGTACCTTACGTCGACTACATTGGAAACGAATTTACTTTTATGCATGACAATGCGAAGGCACGCACATCAAGAATCGTACACGATTACATTTCAGAAGTCGGATTTCGGGTTATGGAATGGTCAGCATGCAGTCCAGACTTAAACCCGATAGAACATTTATGGGATAAGCTAAAACGAAGAATTCGTACTAGTCGAAGAGCCCCAACTTCTATCCCAGAGCTCATTGTTGCAGTAGAGGAAGAGTGGCTTAACATCCCGCAAGAAACAATATCAAATTTGATCGAATCTATGCCAAATCGTATGAGAGATGTTGTTAGAGCAAGAGGGGGTCATACCCATTATTGAAAATTTAGTTCAGTTAATTGTCCATAAATAAATAAATAAATAATAACATACTCTCTTAGTAATAAAAAACGATAATTTGTTTCCTGCCCTAATTTAATAATTTTAATTCAAAGAAACCAAAATACAAATTAATATCTCTAAACTCTTTTCAAAGAATATGAAATTGTCTTTCAAAGAGCATGTATTTTTTCTTAATCTGACAAATAGATTCTAAAAAATATATAGTTGACTTTAAAATTTTGCCTTGGGCCGATTTCTATGCACGCAAGTGTATATTAAATTGTTTAATGACAAAAAATCCGTATTATTAACTGTACCCAAAATCTGTAAATCTAACACTGTCTCCGGCAACCACTCTCTCCGTAGATTGAAAGCATAACAACGATACAGTATTCTTTATCCGCTGCGCTGTAAACGGCTATCAGCGCGCAGCGGCGCAGAGCTAAAATAAATCTCGGAATTCTCGGACAGGCTGACGGTAACGCCAGCTACATGTCGGACAGGTTTTGTGCCACGAAATCGCCCATAAGATTGCGAATCTTCTTATTTATTTAATCAACGGTACTGTGGACAAAGGCAAAAAATTAACTTAACACTTTTTCAAATGCACTTGATTTCCCTTTAAAGTAAAGTCTGTCTGTATGTCTAACGAGCCAAGCAAGGATACCGTCATACGACATCCAAAAAAAATGAGAGATAATATAATTTACCTGTGAATTAAAATAACAAAAGACAACTCTCACTGTCACGTATTTTCTAGTTTATAGACAATGGGTAGACAGATAATAAATCCCCTTAACTTATATCCAAAATTTCTAAAAACTTAGGTAGGGAAACCCCAACCTAAGAATAGATAAAATATATTTAAAGTTTTTTTTTCAACTTTTAAACAAATAATTTTATCGCCTTTATTTAATAAAATATATATAAATTTTATCAATTAGGAACAACAGCATTATCACAAACGCGTTTTCACTGTGTTTAAATAACTACAACAGTAGTAATAAGTAGAACAGAAGTATAGAAAATAGATAATAAATTGTGTCACTTAAATAATAATAAACGAAAACAAAGGAATGATTTATAAAAACATACTTAATTATACCTAGTATTAAAACAAGAATTATTTAAAATGACTTACCTTAAGTTTCTAAACGTTGTAGTAATTCTTGGATTGCTTCTGTAAAAATTTTCTATGAACACAATAAATTTGACAACACCTAAGTCTTCTTTATTGCTATTGTATAGTTTTCTTCAGATAATTCTTCAAAATATTTCGATTTTTCTTCCTGTTGATTTAATTGAATAAAGCCTTTTCGTTGTAATCTGCGAAAAAAAAATTATTTTATTTCATCTGCATCATCTAAAAGTCTCTGGTGTGGGACACAAGTGGCTGTAAAAGTAGCTTCATGTGAAAGTGCTCTAAGTTACAGTCTAGAAGATTCTAGAGATTACAAAAAAAGATGGATGCAAGCCAATTTAATTTTTTGTTTCAAAAAGTTGCACTCTGTATTCTTTTACATCTAGTTCTTTAAGGAATAAACGTTCTGTCAATCAATTGTCAAAATTTTGACAGTTTAAAGTACAACCTTACGCACTGTCGCCATTTTGAATCAACTAACATGGGCTTTTTCATATCAAATGTGTAAACACAGAATATTCTTTCAAGTCAGTTGAATTCATGTGACTTGATCAGTTAACTTGACTAGTGAAAACAAGCCTTAAAGAATATTAATGCGTATTCTAAGAAAATCTACTTAAAGCGTGTTTTTTATACATTTGATATCAAAATGCTCATGTTAGTTGATTCAAAATGGCGACAGAGCGTGAAGCTGTACTTCAAACTTCCAAAATTTTGGTAATAATAACATGGGACAAGGGACAGAAAAGGAATTAGCTACAGATCTACCTTACGGTGCATTTAATAATTTAATACCTAAGCTACTGTTAGGAAACCCTACAGATTAAAAAAAAAGTAACGATGGATGCAAACCAATTTGTTTTCTTGTTGGAAAAAGTTGCACCCAGTATTAAAAAAAGACACATTAATGCGTAACGATGTTTGTACTCGGCTTAAGTTAGAAATTACTCTTCTTTAAGCCTTAACTAATTTTGTATTTCATAATTCTGTGTGTTCCATATACCGGGTGTTTCTCAAAAGTGGCTCACCCCTATAACTTTTTTCCTTCACTTCCTGTTTCACCGGAACTGGCTACAATTTTTGATGTTTAAATGGCACCCTCGGCATTTTTTTACTTTATTAAATAGAATGACATATCATATATCAATTTTTGACATTTTCGCTTAAAAAATCGTATTTTAATTCACGAATTCCTAATCAAGGAGCCTTGTATTTCATCGTCTAATGTTTTTCGTGTCTTGTCCTGCCCGGAATAAAGATACCCAAATTCGTATTTTTAATCATATCTCAATTTTTCGAAATAAAACAAGGGTGTCTCGTTAGCATGTTTAGAAAAAGCATTTTTTACGAATAATTTGGTACCACACACATTGGATTTCGACTCAAATTGTCGTTATGGACCGCATGTTACAATTTCAAATAAGCCATATGCCAAGGTGTCAAAAATTGACATATGATATATTCAGAGTTTTTTCTAGTGAATTTTTTTCACTAGCATTTTCTAGCGAATAATGTAAAGAATTACCGAGGGTGTCATATAAAAACAAAAGTTGTAGTCATTTCCGGTATATCAAGAAGTGACCGAAAATAGTTGAATACGTCAATCAATCCTGATTTATCTCATATACTAACGTACCAAATCTCGTTTTATCTGAAAACATTAAATAGTTATAGAGGTGAGCCACTTTTGAGAATACCCGGTATACTCATGTTTTTCATAAATAATAATAAACTTCACAGAATTTTCCTCTGGCCCCTATTTGCCGCCATTTTAAAAAGACCACTTGAACGCCAAAAATTAAATCGTATAGTCAACTGAAAAATGAATCAACTATTTTGATCCTTTCACATCAGGGGCGGATCCAGAATTCGGGAAAGGGGGGGCTAGACTAAAAACTTTACCCAAAGTACAGAGTGTCCCATTTTGGTTGAAATCATACAATATCTCCGTTATTAGTGAAGATAGAAGTGTGCGGTTTGCACAAACCTGTCCCACTTTTTAGTCAAATGAAAATGCCGCAAACAAAATTTTCATAGCCTTTTTCGTCCTTGAGCTACAGGGTCTTTTGGAAAATTTTGTAATTTGGGACAGCCCCCGTATCTCCATTATAGTGGATGATATCGAGAAGGTGAAAACTGATTCTTGTAGAACTTTTTAAGTAGAATACAGTGGCGTAGTCTTTTTTTCTACGAAAACAATATTTTTAATAATATAAACTTAATTTTTTTTTTCAAATGGAACACAATTTTCAATGGTTTTGGCAAATCCCAAACCCATCCCGTCAGGGCCGTATCTAGACCAACATTTTGGGGGGTTGGCTTGGATTGGAGGGGGGTTGGCTTGGAGGGGGGTACAAAAGCTGCTAGGAAAAAGCATAATAAAAAATCGATTTGGGCTACACTCAAATCTTAATTGAAAATAAAATTTTAAAAAAGTAACAGGTAAAATTATTAATCTTAAAGGATAAACTGGTCTTTTCCCTGGAAAAACGATTGACTACCTCTTTGATATCGATATTTATTTCTCTATGTACGCTTAATAGAGGAAGCCCTGTCAATCGCTCCTGACCTGTAGAGTTACGTAGGAAGTCCTTCAATCGTCTTATGCCGCAACCGCACATGCGGCATTTAGCGAACTCCCAGCGCTCGTCAACTACCGAACGTTCGTGATCGGACTTCGCCTTTCCATCCACACATGCGGGCTCTGATAGCAACAACATAGAGATGAGCGCTCGTTCTCGTCGCCGATCGAGTCGCCGAACTCCGACTTCCTCATCCACACACATAGGAAATCGGCGAAGCCCCGATCGGAGATCGCCGAATACCGCATGTGCGGTTGCGGCATTAGGGTTGAAAAAGACCTTTCTGGTGTAGCTGTTGACACTGGTAGAGTTGCTAGGATCATTAATAAAATGTATATATTTGGAAATATACACTGGTTACACTCCGATTATCGTTTCGATTGCGTTTTTAGGTCGGTCGACTGCAGGTAGCTGCTTCCATTTTTGCCGCCACAAGTCTAGTTCTGCCGCTAAAGTGTCATAGTCCCAGAACTCTTTGTCTAATAGCAGAACAATAACAAACGTTAATCACGTTAATGACCAGCAAAACACACAACATTCAAAATCTTGTCCTTGTCAAACTTTTGCTGTTTTAAACACTTGAATGTTGAAAGTCGAAAATCGAAAATGACATTTGCTTTCAAGTGGAAAAGTGAGGTTAGGATGTAAAATGTATAATCATCAATGACTAAAGAATACAAGGACAAATAGCACCCGAAACCAAACTGTGACCATTCTTCCAAACAGTGTCGTGGCACATATTTTACTTAACATTGCCGCTTGAAGGGATATTTATATTTTTTATATTATATGTTTTCACTACGCCTATGGTGTATCGGGTGGTATCATACTAATTAATTACGAAAAAAACGTATTAAAATGTTAACAAAAGGTACATAACTAGTATCGACGTATAGTACATATCAAGTATATATAATATCAGAAAAATAATTATCGAATTCAATAAAAAACGCTAAAAAGGTGTAGGGGACTATTTATTTCCCTATAAAACGTAACTTCTGGCTCTTTCTTATCATTGTGCCTTTTACACTTGACAGCTGAACAAATTACCATTGTAATAAAGTTTATACAAAGTTCACTACACACAACCAACTATTAAAAATCGCTAAAATTGTCGCTGATGACCAGCTGATGATTCATTCGTTATGTCTAAAAAGTTGGCGTCTAAGGTTACAAATTCTGCTGCAGCCCGTATATGGGCGTTACATGTCCTTGTATTCTTTAGTCTTTTTGGGGGTTGAACCCCCAAAACAACCCCCCAGATACGGCCCTGCATCCCGTTATAATAAATTCCGTTATAAAAAAAAGAAAGATATCTTCAGATTCAGTGGCAACAATTCCAAAGTAAAATATATATTAATCCCAAATAAAATTTTAATATGTGTATGACCAATTTTAGTAAATACCATTTTGATTTTTTGTTATTTATCACGGCCTACTAACAAAAAAATTATATTATAAAATATTGCAGTAAATAGTGAAAATAAATATAGAGTGATATATATTTTTGAAAAGCTCACAGCAAGGTGTTCTATTTGAAAAAACATAACTTTAGTTCATATTTTAAAAAATATTATTTTCGGAGAAAAACAGCCTAACCAAACTACGCCACTGTATTCTACATAAAAAGTTCTACAAGAATCAGTTTTCACCTTCTCGATATCCACTATAACGGAGATACGGGGGTGTCCCAAATTGCAAAATTTTCGAAAAAATGTTGTAGCTCAGAAACGAAGGGCTATGAAAATTTTGTTTACAGCATCTTTCGTTTGACAAAAAAGTGGGACAGGTTTGTGCAAACCGCATCATATATTAAAAAAAGGAGCATAAAGATAGGAGCTTTACTAATTATGGAGATACAGTATGATTTCAAACAAAATGGGACACCCTGTACCCTGTACATACTCCAGAGTCGTTTGAGACAAAATGAATTAATAATATCCTATTACTGAACTCAAGAGGGGGCTTGAGCCCCTGAAGTAATGATGTGTCGGTATTTGAGTAACGCGATTTTGGAGCGGTATTTTTTTGTAACGTCGTGTCGCGCTCCAAAACGAGTCAGGAACCTGTTACTGAAGAACGACGATCATAAGGACTACAAAATTATAAATTATTTATAATTTGCAAATAACTTATTTATAATCGCTCTTGATGTTAGCTGGAACCGTAGTAACCGCATAACGACGTGTTTAGCTCCAGCCGTCGCGATTTCGTTGGTCGCCAACAGTAGTTACTGGCACTGGTATGTACGTAGCGTCGAGCGTGTTCGCTCCAGCCGTTGCGCTCCTAGAGCCGTAGTTCCGCCTGTCGCGAACAGAAGTAACTGGAACTGCTGTAACTGATTAAGGTATGTTTTCCTAGAGGCAGGTTTTTTGCGCAGCAGTAACTGAATTTCTAAAAAAACGTTGGCAGAAGCGCACCTTTTTTTACGCGGCGTAAAAGTGTTTTACTAGTGGCGTGGTTCAGTTGGCCTAGGAAAGTCGCGAACCAAGTAGAATGGCGACTATGTGCATGAAAAGGAAGTTAATTGTTGCGTTTTTATTAAGAAAAATTATAGATGACCAGGAAGAAGAGGTCTGGTGCGAAACCCAGAAAACAAGTGT